TAGGTACGGGTACGGGTACGGTAACGTACGTACGTCACTACACGTACGTACGTACCGTACTACTACGTACTACTCGTACGTGTATCTCTCTCTCTCTCTCTCTCTCTCTCTCTCTCTCTCTCTCTCTCTCTCTCTCTTTGATCTAGACGTTAGATGAATGAACAGGAGACGGCTCTGAACCATGTGATGAGCTCTGGTTTAGCTGGTGATGGGTTTGGTGCCACCCAGGAGATGAGCATTCGAAAACTCATATGGGTTGTCACCCGAATCAACATCCAGGTTGATAGATACAGCGCCTGGTAATCTCTCTGATCTTTAATTAAGACCATTTTCTCCTGGTTCAAAGTTCAGTGAATTTCTATTAAATTTCTCAGTGCATTCAAAAGAAAGAACCAAAGCGAAAGAAAACCACGGAATTTTCACATTTAAGCTTTTCATAATTTTCACATGAAAGCACAGAAAATGAGCTTAGGAAAAAAAAGTCACAAATTCATTAAAATGCAGCATAAAATTTTGCTCGCCATGTAAAACTCTCATCCAATTAAAAAAAGGACGATCTGTTTATATATAAATCATGTGAATTCCAGTCATTATCTCCTTCTTTTTTTAAAAAAATAAAATTACATACTCTCTTACAATGAAAGATTTTACAGGGGAGACGTAGTTGAGATCGATACATGGGTTGATGCGTCTGGTAAGAATGGAATGCGCAGGGACTGGATTATTAGAGATTACCATACTCAACAAATCTTAACAAGAGCAACGAGGTAAGCATTATTATCCGATGGCTTTGATCAATGCTATACAGAGTGGAATTGAATCCTAACAATACATTTTGGTAAGATGTAAAGCTCAGTAATGGCCTAACCGAAAATGAAGAATGTGTTTCTTGAATTTGCAGCACATGGGTGGTGATGAATCGAGAGACCAGGAGGCTTTCGAAGCTCCCTGAACAGGTGAGAGAAGAGATCAGGCCTTACTACCTCAAGAGATTTGCCTTCTCTACAGATGATACTGAGAAAATCAACAAGCTCAACGATGACACTGCAAAGAATATCAGATCAGGCCTTGTTGTAAGCTCTCTTTATCTCTAATAGTTAAAGGAATGGAATGAATTAACAGGAATTAAGGATTTAGAACTGAACTTACTTCAAAATTCACTGTCAGAGAGGATGGAAAAATATGAATGGTGATGTGTTCCTCACTTATCCCTTTCAGTTTTCTCTTCCTCATTCACTTCTTTCAAATCCTTAATTTTCCAAACTGAACAATGAGGAAAGACTAATTTGGAACAACTCCCCCAAAAAAATTGAGAATGGCACAAACAGCCCAAATACTAGGTATATTACCACAGAATCCAATTGAGTTTTTGTGATGAGCACTTTACTATGTTCCCATGGGAGCATAGTGTGCACATCTACTTCATCGTGCAAAACACCTATTTAGAATAATTATTTGTCTTGAATTTGGAAACTACATAAGAACTACCAGATAATTATTATCAAGAGAAAAAATTTGAATTTAGAGTTTTGTGACACTTAGATCTAACACTTCAAAAATTGGATTCTCTATTTAATCTAGAGCATTATTTTTTTTAGTACATGGTGAGTTTATTTCAAAAATTATTTTATTGAGATTAGTTTATGGGTTGTAGAGATTACACTCCCAAAAATCTGAAATCTAAAAGGTACTGTTATACCCGAGGGAGTAAATGGATTGTGCACTGCCGTAGGTGTAAGAATTCTTTTGGCTAATATGATTGGTGGATGTTACGATTAATGAGAGAGAGATAGGAGAGGCTTCTCTCATAATGATGATGGTAGTGAGCATTTGTTAACCAGCAAGAATATGTGATTGACAATTGGTTGTATGAAAGTGTAACAGAGTTTCAATTTTTGTGTATGTTTTCAGCCGCGATGGAGTGACATGGACATGAACCAACATGTAAACAATGTGAAGTACATCGGTTGGATATTCGAGGTCATTCTCCACCCCCGACCTAGCCATATTTTTTCACACCATTATCGAGCCTTTTCCCAACTATTTAAGATTCGCTAGCTAAATTTACACCCAAATCCCAAAATATAATCCTCTTTCATGTCATTTTGGCTCTCTCTTCTCTAATGCATCTTGCAAAAATAATCCCCGACTCTAACAAAAGCAGGGTGAAATTGCAGAGTGTGCCAATGAAGGTGCTAGAGGACTACACACTGGCTGGCATGACACTAGAATACAGGAGAGAATGCTTGCTTTCGCATGTGCTCGACTCGCTCACGACCATGGAGGAGGAGCCTTCCATTCCATCAGAACTTGAGAGCACCCATCTTCTACGAATGCAGGCTGATAAGGCCGAGATCATTCGAGCCAGGGCATACTGGCGATCGAAGGGGTTAAATACTTAAGCTGTTTAGCACCATGTATATACATTCCTCATTCTTCGGCATTCTATTTCATTTGAGAGAGAGAGATAGGTCTGCGCCATCTATTTGTTTTGTTTCTTACATGGAGCAATAATTTGCCATCAGTGGTGGCGTTTGATAGTTTCTACTCTCTTCTCTCTCTCACATATGCCCATATTCTTTTCCACAGCGGCGACCTTGTAAAGGATGCTGCTTGTCTCCCCCCTTCTGCTATGAACCATTCTGCAGAACCACATTTTCTAATTTCTTCAACAATGCAACAAAATCATCATACTCAGTACCAATACCAAAACATGCTACAAGAAAAACCCCGACACGAGAGAGAGAGAGAGAGAGAGAGAGAGAGAGTGTCACAAGTAAATAAAC